GAGAGAGAGAGAGAGAGAGAGAGAGAGAGAGAAGAAGGAATGGAGAAGAAAAGAAAGGGAGAGGGAGAAGGAGGAGGAAGAAAAAGAGAAACAAAGAAATGGGGTAAAAGTATTAACAATGATAAATGAATATCGGTAAAGGATATATGGGTACTTTACACTATTGCAACTTTTCTGTAATGTTGAAATTATTTTCATATAAAACTTTAAAAAAAAACACAACAGGATTTACTAATTATGAGTGTAGGAGGAAACGGGATTCAAGCCCTTGTCAGATGACAATTGCCCTGAGAGGGAAGCTGGAGATTGATGTAGCACATAACTAATGAGATGTGCTAATTTAACCACACCTCATCTTGCACAAGAGCTGCACATTTATTGCTATGATGTTTTCACTATGTGCAAGTACCTGTGAGAGTATTTCACAGAATACTTTGAACTTACCAGCTTTTAGCCTGATCATTTGCATTTGTGGTATCTACAGGTGCTTTCAACCACATTACACCTCATGCCCCAAATTAGACACCATTTTTGCCAAAACCTGCTGGTTTTAGGGCTTTGCCTCTGTGAGTACCTTTGGTAATTAATTTATATTCTGGTTAATGCATATAGCAGGTATCCCTGTGAGCATTTAATCTCACAATGTCCTAGAAGGATTTATATCACAATTTGTAATTTACTCAGTACTCATGACAGACCTCTTCAACCCAGCAAAACTGATGGTCAAATAAATCAAATGTGGAAGGATAATGAGGTAAAAGGGAAAACTTAATCTAATTTTAAAATTGTTTCAGATGAAATAACAGAGGTGTTGTTAGATGTTGGGAATTGGTCTTCACAAGGCAGAGGAGGCAGGGTTGAAATCCCAGTGTTGTGTGTGTGTGTGTTTCATTTAGCTGATATGCTGGGAATTAGGCACCCAGAAAGCATCAGCTCAATACCCCTAGTGTGTGATAGAGCTTATGTAACACCCAGGCACTGTGGGTGTGCATCTGGAAGCTCCTCCAACACCACGCCCTAAGAAACCTTGTAGGAAATCAGCTTCAGCCTGCATCCAATATTTCACATACTGTTAGGTCAGCAGCAGCTGTTACACCTAGAGATCCACAACATTCCAGTGTGCTCACTATTCCTAGTTTCTTTGCCCTCCCCTACTCAAAATATGCCCAAATACCTCTCAGGTAACTCTCACCTGGCTCTGATCACACCTCTACTTTGAAGAACTCCATACTTCAGGAAACTCAAAAGAGCAGTAAGGCAGGTAACTAAGTCATGTGGGGTTTGGCTCTAGAAGATCATTTTCATAGAAGAGTGGCATCTGATTCAAAAGATTCAATATAGTGGATTTAGATGGGACCCAGCCCTGTTGTCTTACAACTCCCTTTACTTTCCGTGATACTGCAGAGGATATTGCTACTTCTAGGTGACATTCAACACTCAATAAAACCAGCTCTATGAGCTTGCTGATATATTTTTACAGCTTTGCTAGTGGTGGAGTTGGCAAGTCTCTGTCATAATGCTCAAGTGAAAATTACCCTTAGGATATTTTAGATCACTGCTATTAAATGCCTTCATCCTATTAAATGAATTAAACAAGGGGGACTTTAGACTGAGGTGGCTCTAATTTCGAGAAAGTTTGCTCAATTGTATGGAACACTGTGGCTTCACCAGAACATTCATTCAAATATTTAAACAGATCCTGAAGTTTTGTCTCACCAGCCCAAAGCAGATAGGAAATGGCCCTACACCTGAACAGCAAGGCATGGTCTTCACAGCAAAGTGAAGCTTTAAGCTGGGAGCTGTAACACACGAATCTCTTCAACAACACAGGATAGTTATATCCTGATCTCTCATTAGGAAAAGAGTGATTTTGAAGTGTTGTGTTTTTTTTTTTTTTTGTCATAAATTCATTCATTTCTATGTCTCAGTACTCAGCTCAATGCCCAGCTTAATAAGTGTGCTTAATAAAGATTTCTTTAATGAATCAGTGCCTTTCACAGTAGTTACCTAACATCTCCTTCTCTGCCTGGTGCTCCTTCCCTAATTTTCCTGGTTACCATTGCTCTACTTCATTTTCATGTCCCCATGTAGGGGAGGCAGATGAAGCACTTTCAGCGTCCCAAGAGTGCAGTTTTATGGAAAATGCTTGGATCCTGACTTGAGATTGCACTTATTTGAGCTGGGAGTGTTGATTGTTGCAGAGGGTTCAATAGCTGTTTAATAGAACCGTATCTGTAAGTTGTTCTGAATGTGTTGTTAAATTTAACAATGTCCTTTAACAATGAACTGATAGCTCTGTTCTGTATAACTGTAGAGGAGGACTCAGAGGATGTTAAGGGCATTGTTGAGGGCTTTGATGAGGACACCACTGAAATAATAAAGGAGAGTTTGGGAAAAAGCTCAACCTCTGTGACTGAGAATCAGTCCCAATCCCAAAGCTGGGTCCATCAGAAGACTGGACTAGATTCTTGATAGTTTGGAGTCTCTGTTAAATAAAAAAAAAAAAAACCCAGCAACCCCAAAATACCCCCCAAACCAAAAAACTTCCCTGTTGCTTTTTTTTTTAAATGAGGTGTTGTTTTATTTTATCATGGCTTTTTAGTGAAATATCTTAAGTTGCAATTCTTTTGTGCTTGCTAAATAAAAGGAATGTTCTGATTTGTTGAAGGAAAAAGAAGAGTTTATTTTGCCAAGCCTGTGAGGGTGGCTGATCCTCTGAAATTTTTACAGTTGACCTATGTGCAGGATAAGGAAGAGAACATTCCTGTCCATTTACGTGTTAGTAAGCAGCTTCTGGATCAGGATGACAAGTTAGCCTGACAGGTATTTGCCGTAACAGAAAAATTTCCTTATTCTATACCCTTCCTTAGAAGAGAGTCTTTAGAGCCAGAAAGCCTTCTCACAACCTACTGATGAGCAAGATCAGCTGAAGGCCTTTCACGTTTGTTTATTGCTGCCCCTCTTCTTTCTCTTGTTCATTTTTTTTTTACCTTGGAGCCAAAACATTGTATTACTCACCATTATAGCACATGCATATTAAAGAAAGACCTCCATGTTTACATCAATTTTTCTTCACATCATTTTTACATGTTTGAGGTAAGATTTTGTTGCTTTTATTGTCAGAGACTCAGAGAGCCCTAAATTCTGCCCTGACAAGCACCCCAACTCCTGAGAGCTCCGAAGGAAAGAATGTGCTTAAGGAACAATAGCAAACTGCACCAAAGTACCACTTTGTTAGTATCTGAGGTATACCTAATAACTTCTGTCATGGGCTCACTGGTAGAAAGTAAAATGGAAAATAAGCTAGACCTACTTTCCTTCCCTCTCTCAACTCCAGATCTGAATTGAGGACCACGTGTTCAGGCATGGTGTGGAAGAGGGTGACTGGATCCCAAGTGAAGATTCCAATCAGACATGAATAGAAGAAGACTAATCAGGGCCAGGCTGGAAGGAAAGGAGGCTCATTTCTGGATGCTGACTCTTCAGGGCATATTGCCCTTCATAATATATGAGCCAATGAACTTCTTGGGCTCTGATGAACCAGATTGGAAACTCTTTTCCTTGGAGGGGCATGGGGAGACATAAAAGTTATTGTTTAAGGCAAAATCATGGAGAGAAAGGCCTTAAGTGTTCTTTCTCCAGTGTCATTATTTTAAACCAAGCATTTTGATAGAGTCTTCTGAGGATGAGTTCATTAAGATGAACAGGACATTTTCTAAAATTTAAAAGGAACCCAACAATCCTGTTTGGAGTAGATTTGGGGTGAACACAAATCACTCCAAGCAGAATATGAAAAGGGTTGTAATGGAAATGGAATCACATGGAATTCCAGAGAAGAGAAATTATTTTAGTTGGGAGGACTTGAGGTGGCTTCATGAAGGGCATCCTATTTTATCTGACCCAACTAGAATAGAAAGAAATGGGCAAAATAGGCCTGCTGGAACAGTATGAGTAAGGACTAAAAAAATGTGGTGTGTTTGGTAGACTGGGGAATTTCAAATGGACTGAAGTCAACGGCTAGTAATTGGAGGGGCCAGGAGTAGAAGCTAGTTGTTATGGCTTTCTGTGTAATGTTCTTTCCAGATCAATTATACTTCATGCAACGTAAGATATTACTTTGTTAGACAGGAAGCCAAATACAACTTCTTTAGCCATAAACTCATGTTTATGAGGCTTTTCCTTTTTGTCTCCTCCAGGTCAACTTGTAGAGAGACACATTCATAAAGATTATCATGGCACATTCCCTTCCTATTTTTCATACCTAGAAAATCAACTCTAAGTCTAGCCTCTTTTCTCTTGTTACCATGTGGATGGTGGATTTTTCCTTCCTAAGAAAAAAGAACACATAATTGAGACAGTGTGGGGTCTGCTTTTGGTGCTCAGATGAGACTGCCACTACAGGCATTCCTGATATAAGTGTCTATAGCTATGGAACTCCATCTAGCAGGGTCCATGGCCAAGAGTGGGACAACTTCAGGGAGAATGCTCAATCTGTGCCCAGAGCTAGGTTAAACCCAGAATGTGGGGATGTTGTCTAAGAAGTGGGGGTGGTGTGGAGGAGTTTGGAAATTGTGATGCATAAGTGTTAAGGATTTGAAGAACATGAGGGTGAGCAGGGGCTTTCAGAGGGCATCCTTTTGGCAAAGGCATCAGCACAGGTCACAGACTTCTCTGAGCTGACCTTTTTCATGTGGAATGTATGGCCTTTTCAGCCCTCTCCAAAAGGTTTGTGGATTAAGCTAATTTGCATCTGTTTATGTGGCTCTGTCTTTAGAGGAGAATTTATCTACGCAGGTGCCAAGAAATTTTGGACTTGCAACTCTTTTCATACTCTGGACTTGCATACTCAAAGAGAATTTTGGATTTGCATATTACTTATGGCCATAGTGACAACCCAGGGTAATGAGGTCTGTGCTCCCCCTGCCTTCTGTATGTGCAGCCTATCCCTAGGATTCGTTCTCCTCTTTGCAGCACAAAGACCCTGAAGGGGAAACCTGCTGTCACAGTCCACAAGATAAAGCCTTCGCACTGAATAATTTCCTTAGAGCTCTCTTCATATCCTTGTTTCTCAGGCAGTAGACAAAGGGGTTCAGCATGGGGGTGACCACCATATACATCACTGAAGCCAGCGAATCCTTGTCTGCTGAATGGGAAGATGAGGGATTCAGGTAGACTCCTATGATGGTCCCATAGAAGAGAATGACTACAGTGAGATGGGAACCACAGGTGGAAAAGGCCTTTTGCTTGCCCAAGGCAGATGGAACCTTAAGCACAGCAGATACAATGTGGATGTAGGAGACAAGAATTCCAAGAAAGGGGATGAGGACAATCAAGCCCCCCACCAGCAGAATCATGAGCTGATTGAGTTGGGTGTTGGAACAGGAGAGCTGGAGCAGGGGGACAATGTCACAAAAGAAGTAAGGGATGCTGTTGCTGGCACAGAACTCTAGCCGAGCCACGAGGAGGGTGTGTAGTAGGGAGTGAGAGTTGGCAATGAGCCAGGAGCTCCCTAGCATGAGGGCACAGATTTGTAAACCCATCATAGTGGAGTAGTGCAGGGGGTGACAGATGGCCACAAAACGGTCATAAGCCATTGCTGTCAGGAGGAAGTTGTCCATGTTGGCAAGCAATATGCAGAAGTAGATCTGGGTTAGGCAGCCACCATAGGAAATGGATTGAGTCTGCATGTGGATGTTCACAAGCATCTTGGGGACTGTGGTGGAGATGAAGCAGAAATCCACCAGGGAGAGGCTGCTGACGAAGAAGTACATAGGGGTGTGGAGGTGGGAGTCTGAGCCAATGGCCAGGATGATGAGAAAGTTCCCTGCTGCCCCAATCAGGTACATGACCAGGAAGAGCCCAAAGATCAGCTTCTGCCTCTCAGGCTGGCTGGCAAGCCCCAGGAGGATGAACTCAGAGGTGCTTGTGTGGTTTCCTCTCTCCATGGTCAACTAGTCCTGCTGGGAGATCCAGACGAGGCACAGGCTATAGAGAGGGTCAAGGTGCCCATGCCTCCTTTCTTCCCTCAAACAGTCCCTCAACACAGCTGGCCATACCTCTGTGTTCATTGGTACCATAGAATCTATCTATCAAAGAAAAGTCCTATGGATACAATAGACCTCAAAGTCAGGGTTTTTTATTATTTTACCACCTAAATGCTGCTGATCCTGAACCCCACAAAACCTTATCTCTCATCCCTCCAAGGAGAATCCTTGTGACATCAGGCCAGGTACTCAGTGGTTGTAGCAATGAAGGGGGTGTTGAGGGTATTTTAGCTCCTTGAGTTTCAATCATACTCTCACTCTTTTATATGAGCAACTAATATTGTCTCAATATTAAGTAAAAAGCTATGGAAATATAGTTTCTTCCTAATCCTTATAACATTACCACCTGAAGGACATTTCTCTACAGAATTCTGGAACCACAGTGGCACATATGTAAACCAGAGGGTTATTATTTGTATATATCCTCCTTTCCCTTGAATATTTTGTTTCCTACCCACTGAGAGCCCAGGCTCAGGGTGCTCCAGCTAATACTCATCACTGACTGTGGGCCACCCTGGTCCTGGTGATGATGCTGTGGGATGCAGTAACTCAGGGCAAACGTGAGCGGAAGAACCTGTTGACTGGGACAGCTCAGCCTGCTCTTCCATCTGTGATTACCCAGGAAAGGACTTGCCTCTGGAGGGTTAGAGTTGCCCCTGCAGATAACAAAGAGAACTCACAGGTATAACATTTTCCCAAAGTTAACAGTTGGCAGAAGGGCAACATAGGGACCCACTAAACTGGAGTTCAAAATAGTTCAGTGCAAGCTCAGATACAGTTTTTTTAGATATAATATAATTGTTTTTCACTGCTTTGCAATACATCATTGGGATTTATGTCTTATGAGAATATATAAATCAATAGCAGCATAGGTAAACACATTACTTGACTCCTCCTGCAACCACATCAAAATTACAACTAAACTACAGAACAACCATCATTCAGAAACCACTGAAATTGAATGGAAGTCCTACAACTGTGGAATTAAAGAAGAAGCCACACTGAAACTGGTAGGGAGGCGGAGATGTAGATCGGGCTGGTCTCACACTCAAGTGTGGTGGATAAAAATCAGGAGAAATTTCTCAACTGTGTTTCCCCCTGAGGAGTGGGTGGTCCCAGCCCTATACTAGGCTCCCCTAGCCCAGAGTTCCAGTGCTGGGAATAGAAGTTCCTTAACCTCTTGCTTTAAAAACAAGTGGGCATTGTGGCTGAGGGAGACAGAGGGCTTCTGGAGTCCCAGGCAGTTTCTCTTAAAGGGCTCACACACGGACTAATTCATACTCCCTTGAGCTCCAGCATAGGGGCAGCAGGTTAAAGGCACCAGAAAAATACAGGGAGGAGCTGAATTGTCCAGCATCAGGGACAGAAATGGAGGGAGCAGCTTTCTTCCAGACAGAAGTGCTTGTGGTTGACAACATTATTTCTTTGACAGCCATCTCCCACAGAGCCTGTAGGCAGGTGCCATCTCTGAGACTCCATCAGTGTGGCTCACACTGTTTGTCCCACCCTGGTGATTATCTGAGGCCTCACCTCAGTCAACTTTTGGGCACACACAACCTGAGTTTTTCCATATGAATGGCTTTTCCATATGAATGGCCTTTCTTGGCTCATGCTTCAGATTTTCCTAAAATCTCTCAACAAGTAGCATCTGGCCTCAGTGAGCCACATACCTCTCATGAGGCAGCTGCAGGCCAGGAACTAAGCAGTAACCAACCATGGTTTAAAGCTTGGCCTTGCCTGAGCACCTCTAAGCCCAGTACAAGTAGCAGCCACCTGCAGGTCACTTTGTAGCTCATGCCAGGTGGCCCCAGGCAGAACACAGATGGAAGCTGACCTTGGCCTGCACCCCCTGGGAGGCCCTAGAGCCAGCACACCCAGTGGACAACTTCAGACCACATTGAAGCACAACCATCCAACCACTTCCACAAGTGACACATTCAAGGGACAGACTCAGTGAACACCAGAGCCCTGTTGAAGTAGGCCCTGCTCTGTGGGGTGGGCCCCAGAACACCTGATCCTCTACAGTGGTCAGAGGTCAGTGGTCAGAGGTTGTAGCCAGTCCTTGCACCTGACTGGCCTGGGGATAAATCTCTTCCATTTATGTGTCAATAGCAATCAAGTCTCAACTACAACAGAAAGGGGTACACAGCCAACATCAGGGGTACATCTGGAGTGTCCAGCTCAGGTTATTGGTAAGGCTGTGCCACTGGACCCTTCAGGACATCTACTACATTAGATCTACTACAGTCTATCAAGCCCAGGAGATGTAGCAGCTTTACCTAATACATAGAAACAAACACAGGGAGGCTGCCAAAATGAAGAGATAAAGAAACACATCCCAAATGAAAGAACAGAATAAAATGCTAGAAAAAGAACTAAACAAAATGGAAACAAGCAATCTACTAGATACAGAATTCAAAACACTGGTTATAAAGATGCTCAATAAACCTAGTGAGAACCTCAACAGCATTAAAAAGAACCAGTCATAAATGAAGGATACACTAGCTGAAATGAAGAATAATTGAGAGGGAATCAACAGTAGAGTGGACAAAGCTGAGAATCAAATCAGTGATTGGAATATAAGGAAGCAAAGACACCATCAGATAAGGAAAAAGAAAAAAGAATAAAAAAATGAGGATAGTGTAAGGAGCCTCTGGGACAACTTCAAGTGTACCAACTTTTACATCATGGGGGTACTAGAAGGATAAGAGAGAAAGTAAGAAATTGAAAACCTTTAAAAAAAAAAATGACAGAAAAACTTCCCTAACATGGTGAAGGAAATATACATACAAGTCCAGGAAGTGCAGAGAGTCCCAAACAAGATTAACCCAAAGAGGCCCACACCAAGACACGTCATAATTAAAATGCAAAATGATAAAGACAATGAGAGAATCTTAAAAGCAGCAAGAGAAAAGCAGTTAGTTACCTACAAGGGAGCTCCCATAAGACTAAGCTGATTTCTCAACAGAAACTCTGTAGGGCAGAAGGGATTGGCAAGAAATAGTCAAAGTGATGAAAAGCAAGGACCTACAACCAAGATTTCTCTACCTTGACTCTAAAAGTATCATTTAGAGTCAAGGGCAGATGTAGAGCTTTCCAGACAAGAAAAACCTAAAGGAGTTCACCACCACCAAACCAGTATTATGTAGTATGTTGAAGGGTCTTCCTTAAGAAGAAGAAGAAAAAAAGGAAAATATGAACAATGAAATGGCAATACATGCATGTCTTTCAACAACTGAATCTAGAAAACCAAATAAATGAACAAGCAGAACAGAAACAGACTCGTAGATACAGAGAACATTTTTGATGATTGGGAGGGGAATTGAGAGGATGGGGGTGAAAAAGTTGAAGGTATCAAGAAGTACAAATTGTTAGTTAGAGAATACTCATGGGGATATAAAATATTGCACAGGGAATATAGTTAATAATATTCTAATAACTATGTTTGGTGTGAGATGGGTGTGAAATTAATCAGTATGATCACTTAGTAAGTTATGTAATGTCCAATAACTGGGGAGTACATCTGAAACTAATATAATAATGTATATCAACTGTAGTTGAAAATAAAAATGATAGACAAAAAAAATAAAATGCAAGCTCATAGTTTAAAAAGGAGAGATAATATAAAGCAGAAAGGGGGGGTATGAAAGGAAACTAGAGTTAGTGTGCTGATGAGGATCAGGGGAAAGCTGATGGAGGAAATCAGTCTGAAAAAGTTATGGCAGTAGAGTGATGGCCCATCTGGGAACTGGACCAGCTGTAATAAGGGAGAAACTGTCTTAGGAAGCTGACTTTGCCCACACTGACATTTTGCTGAGGTAGAGCCTGCTTGGAGCAAAGGAACTTAGTGCAATTGGGGATGGTATGGGGGATGGAGATTTCAGCTATGCATTGAGTCCCAGCTGAGGTCTTTACCTGTGTCGAGATCTATTCCTTAGCATGGAAGATAAATGGCTCATTTTGAATTAATGCTTTACTGATGAGATTTTTTTTTTTTAAGGATTCAAGTGTTTGGTGTTACAGAGGTGTAAATCTTCAGGTAAAGGACAAGTGTAAGGTACAAATACAGAAGCCTAAGAGGAGGGAAATCTATTTGGTGGAAAGTAAATGTAAAGGAAACCACTTAACGTGGTTGATATCTTCATTTGATCAGTTCTCACTGAAGAACTCTTTATTGGCTGATATAAAAGAAAATAAATCAATGGAAGACATTGTTCTTATTCCTAAGAAGCTTCTAGTCAAAAGTAAAATTTTCACATAGGAAACAATCCTTAGACTAGGGAGATGACACTTATTGAGCACTTACTATATGTCATATACAAGGTTAGGCAAGTGCACAAATTTAATTTTATCTTGACAACAACCTATATAAGATAGGCATTATCATTCTTTTTTTTTAGGCATCATCATTCTTATTTTACAGATGAATAAACTGAAATTGTGAGGGTTTAAATAATTTCCCTGAAGACATCAGGATTTGATTCCAGGCAAGTCTGATTTCAAAACAGTGCTTTTTCAATTTCATTGCTTTGACTGAAGTGCAACTGGGTAAACCTAAACTTGAGGCATCTGAGTAAATGGATCAGGGATTTCTGGAGTGGCCAATATTGGGACAGGATAAAGGGACTGTAGGGCAGGGATTTGGTTTAAAAGGGTCATCTGTACTGGAGAGAGAGGACTTGTTTGTGTGGGTGAAGGTAGGTTCCAAGATGACCAAAGCTTTAGAATGAGAGCTACAGTGTGCATAGTCCAAAAGCTCCGCCTCTTCCTGGATTATATTCCTTTGAAACTAGGGTGACTCCATCCTCTCTTTTCCTTCCAACTCTCCCACTTCCCCAGAGATGGGAAAAGAAAATTTTCTGTTACTATTTCCCACTTGTTAAGAAAACACTCCTCCGTAA